TCTGCCTTTAAATGAAACAAGTTCATTCTTCTGGTTTTCTAGCCCCTCTGGGTTCCCTTTCACTCTTCCCTGCATCCCAGATAATTGAGAATGTATCAACCAAGTGTAAAAAGAGCTGGCCTTTCACTTTTGGTGGGCCTTTGTTATTCTCTTGTATACTTGAATTCTCTTAACTCCTCCAACCCTGTGGAAACAAAGCTGTCTACACACAGTGTCCCTTTGTGGAGAAAAGCTCAGAGTGGATGAGTAGGAGCCCTTTTTTGATTTAGGTTTTACAAGTCTGAGCTTCAAACAGTACCTGTGTTCTGGTGGGCTTCAGTCCTCTACTGAGGGCAAAGTCTCTACTGTGGGGAGAAATGGCAAACCAGATACTTTTTCAAGGAAAGAGGGTCGAGTGAGAGCCTTTGCACCTTAGGGGAATGTATTCACATAGTCCTCAGGACTCAGACTTTGGGGTTAGTGGAATTAGAGGACCCTGCTTCTCTTCTTTCCATTCCTACCCCACTCCCTTCTCAGTTGCTATGGACCAATGCATCTCTCTAGAGGCAAATACAGCAAGCAGTCTACCTTGTCCTTTGCAGTTGCTCTTCTCCATAATTTTCCTGCTACAAGTGTTTTAGGTGTTACTTCCCCCAGTTGTCCTGTTCTTGCAAACAGAAGATATGGCACCTGGGCTTAAGGCCTAAGGAAGCCAGTCAGTCACCTTCTGGGCAAGGGCTCTCCCTTCTGTCCTCCCTGTCCATGGCACCAACCTGCTGCCTCTGCGGGATAGCTTCCTGTTATTGCAGCACTGTGTCTGCCAGGGGGAACTTGGCCACTATCCCTGTCCTTCTACAGAACCTGAGGGAGAAGGTTCCCCTAGTAATGTCACTGTCTGTTCTTACTCCTTCCCTCCAGCAGCTGGCCTAGCCACTGAGTCACAGTGTGGGATCAGGAAGGAGGAGAGGCAATTAAGCTGTAACCCCCAAGGAGGAAATAACTAAGAGGTTCCTTCCAGGGGTAGCCGGCGGTTGTGCCTTTTGTAGGCTTCCCTTTGCCTTAAACCTGAAGATGTCTCCTCAAGTCTGTGGGCAGCATGCCCAGATTCCCAGACCTTAAGACACTGTGACAGTTTTCTGTCTGTCCACTATGTTTAGTTGCAAGGATTTCTCCAGTTGTTGCTGTTTTTTTTGTTTTTTTTTTTTTTTGTTGTTGTTGTTGTTGTTACTGTTTTAAAGGGTGCACACATTTGTGATCAACATTATGACTTGGAGATAATAAAATTTAGACTATAAACTTGGCTACCTTGCTAGTGTTTTGTGTGAGTATTAATTTGGGAGGAAATGAAGAGGACTTGCTAAATCCCTCACAGATTCACAGTCACAACCCAAGGGCTGGGGATGTAGCTTCTCAGTTGGTAGAGTGCTTGCCTAGAGTGCTTGCCTTGCATGCACAAAGCCCTGGGTTCAATCCCCAGCACCACCAAAAAAAAAAAAAGTTGTGGTGGCTCCTGTGGTTATAGAAAACTGGGCTCATACCACTTACCATGGAGACAACCCAAGCCAGCTCAGACTTGTGAAATGGAAGGCCAGAAAGGTGAGAGCCTCTATGAGGCCCTAAGTATGTCTGTGCTCCCCGTCATTTCTGTTTTTCTGATAAGAAAACCACATTTACATTACCACATAGGTATCAGGATATCATGGAGTCCCTCATTTGGAAGTGTCATGAACAATAAAACAGCCCATGTGAACGTCTATGCCTTCTTTTGTGTCTTTCTAAAAAGTAAAGATACTGGCACTTAGGAATTTCGGACCACAATGTAAGGGAGAGGTTCCTATCAGTCTTAATACAGGTAAGGAGAAGGGAAACTCTAAACACTACCATCTGTGGATCATTCTGCCCTTTACCTGGGCCCCTGGTGCACACAGGATGATTCCCAGCTTTGAATTGACTGTTGCTTCCAGGTCTGGATAGGATGGAAGTTTGCGATGTGGAGTTTTTGTCCTGGAGTTCCAGAAAGGCTTATATTGGGGACATGGATATTCTGGTGTATCTTAAAACGACAGATGGAAGTTCCCCCACACCTCAATGCTGCTGCTATGGCCAGATAACCATGAATTTTCCGAGCCCATCCATTGTCATTTTGCTTCCCTTCTCCCCCACATGATGATGATGATATCTGTAGGCCTGGTCTCCAGGGTCATGCAAAGAATGCCAACCAATCTTGGGGGTGGGTTACTAGTAGGAGGAACAAGATTGTTGAGATGCTTCCCCCTCACCCCTGCCTCCTGCTTCCCTGGTCCTGCAGTTAGATCCCATTGCTCTCTGTTGCCCTGGTAACCATCTCTGCAAGAAGAAACTCAAGCTCAGCAAAGCCCCCAGGTTCTCTCTGTCCTCCCAGCCTGCTTCTTGGTGGGCAGAAAGAAGTAGAGTACAAGGGGCAGACAGATCAGCCTTAGATAGCCCTGCCCAACCCCCTTCTAGACACCCAGAGGCTAAGCTCTCAGTTAAAGCTTTTTGGCCCCCACCTCACGGTTGTAATTCATACCACTCTACTTTTCTCTTTATTTTAACCATGAAAGCAGGTGCCTTACCACCACTCCCCCGGTTGGTCAGCACACAGGCCTGCTACCTTGTGGGTGACTCAAAAACTGCAAAAATTTGGAATCCCAGAGTCATCTCAGCATCTACAGCTCACTAAGACTGAGTTGTACCTCTGGGGCAGTGATTTTCAACCCTGATTATTTTAATCACCTGGAGAGCTTTTAAAAAATACAAGCTTAGGGCTGGGGATGTGGCTCAAGCGGTAGCGCGCTCACCTGGCATGCGTGCGGCCCAGGTTCGATCCTCAGCACCACATACCAACAGGGATGTTGTGTCTGCCGAGAACTAAGAAATAAATATTAAAAATTCTCTCTCTCTCTCTCTCTCTCTCTCTCTCTCTCTCTCTCTCTCCTCTCTCTCATTCTCTCTTTAAAATAAAAAAATAAAAAAAATACAAGCTTGGCCCTTCCTCATCTCATTTAATTGATTGGGGTGTGGCCTGGGCATCAGTATTTCTATAGTTTCCTGTGATTTCAGTGTGCAATAAAAGGAGGAAAGCACTACTGCTCCAGGAGGACCATTTCCTGGATTTAAGGTCTTGAACTTAAGTCATTACCTGGTGTCCTTGAGTAACTGTCGGTGGGGAGGCGGGGAGTCCTGTCCCCCAACCTTTTAGTTTCCAGAAGTCAGTCCATTTTATTTACAGCTCCCACACCCTCCACACTCCCCAATTCACCCTAACCGACAATCCCAAATCCTGCCCAGAGAGGAGGTTACCAAGGCAACCGGCTTAATCTGGTAACTGTGGCATGTGCTGGGAGAGAAGCCCTCTCCTCTTCCTATTTGGATCATAAAAAACTACCTGGGGAGCTCCAAGCCACTCCAGCCAGTTTCCCCTTTCAACCTGAGAGATACTAGGATGTCCAAAAAAACGGAGCCCAGGAAACTGATACTCAGACCTAGCTTCTTAGCCATGATTGGGTTCGTTCTTTTTATTGTTCCCTCTCCAAATCCCCAGATGGGTGTGCAGAGCTTTATTTCTGTGAACACATGCCATAGCACACATGGGACTAGATATGCACATACAGTGACATGAGTGTAGTATACACCCTGTCAGTTCCACCACCACCACTCCCAGCTATTAGCATTCCTATCCTTGCCTGGCTAGTGCACAGTACACGGGTGGAGCATTGTCCAAGGAGCCTCAACCCAGCTGGAACAGGGTGCCACTCCCTTGACCTTTAAAACTTTACCTGGATGTGTTCACACTGTCTCTATCACTCTCCTCCTGGGGGGTTGAGAGGGGATGTACCCTTAGGGACAGGAGGCTCTTGATATGAACATTAGGAATAAGGATTATTTGGAATGCAATCTGAATACACTATTCCCATTCTATTGCTATGTAACACTGTGCTTGGTGTGCTTGATGATGTTAGTTGGCAGGTGGGTTTGTCACCCATTTCTGTGGCCCTGCTTCCTTCTACCAGTGGGCTCAGGTGCCCTCATATTCCTGGTCTCCTCCCTTCTGCCTACTATTTCTTTTCACCCAAACTAGACCTGCCACAACCTGCTGCTCTCTACCTGGCTCTTACTTGCTTGCCAGTACCTGCCTCACAGGCCAGCCCTGCACCACCTACTATGCCCCACTAGAGAGGGCAGAAGGGCACCGCCCCCAGTGCCAAAGCCAATCCACCCAAGAGGGCTTCCTAGCCTTTCTTATTGGAGTTAAAGACCAGGTATTCCTGTGAGTATGGTAGAGGTGTGCAGGGTTCAGCAATCTTTGTAGGTCTCACCTGTACTGTACAGGTAGGTGAGTCCAAGTGCAGGCTACAGACCATGTCTGGCTATTTGAAATGATGCTAAGAGACCCAGTAATTCCATAAACCAGGAATCCTTCTCCGTTATTAAGTCATTCCCTCGCCTTTGCCTTTAAGATGCTGTGTCTGCTCTGAACCCAAGCCCCTGTTTCCTTCATGGTCAGCCCCAGCACCCAAGTTCAAGCCTCGCGCGGCCCGGGGGGGGACGGACCCAGGGATGGTAGAGGCGGGAAAGGGGCGGGGACTGGGCAGGGACTAGAGAAGGGGGCGCGGTCTCTGTTCTGCCACCTTCCCCCCGGCGAGGAGCGCAGCCGCCGCTGCCGTGTCCTCTCAGCCTTGCGCTGGGCACGCTGCCTCTGCCGCCGCAGCCCGGCCCAGGCGCGGAACCCGGGGCACTGGCTCCGTTGCCTGCCCACCCTTCGGCTGCAGCCGGCATGGGCAGCCACTGAGAGCGGGCACTCCTTCCCTCTGGCACCTCCCCTGGCCACTGGCCACTGGACTTCGGCCAACAAGCCTCGGCCACCTCTAGTCCCCAGTCCGGCGCCTGGCACGGCCCTCCGCTCTGCTCCTCCGGCTCTGAGCATCGCGTTCCTGCCCCCCCCGCCCGCGCCTGGGACACCTGGGTCCCCCGGCGGCCCTTAGGAGAGGGGCGGGGGGGGTATGAAGCCTCTGGAGAAATTTTTGAAGAAGCAAACGTCGCAGCTGGCGGGACGGACGGTGGCGGGAGGTCCCGGCGGGGGTCCGGGGAGCTGCGGCGGGCCTGGAGGGGGTGGGGGACCTGGCGGGGGTGGCGGTCCAGCCGGGGGACCGCGGCCGCTGCAGCGGCGACAGAGCGTGTCTCGCCTGCTGCTCCCAGCTTTCCTCCGTGAGCCCCCCGCCGAGCCAGGGCTGGAACCGCCCACTGAGGAAGAAGGGGGAGAGCCCGCGGGGGTCGCGGAGGAGCCGGTCAGCGGGGGACCCTGCTGGCTACAGCTAGAGGAGGTGCCAGGGCCAGGGTCGCTCGGGGGCGGGGGACCCCTGCGCTCCCCTTCTTCGTACTCCTCAGATGAACTGTCCCCAGGCGAGCCCCTCACTTCACCGCCCTGGGCGCCCCTGGGCGCTCCAGAGCTGCCGGAGCATCTTCTGAACCGGGTTCTGGAACGGCTGGCTGGAGGGGCCACCAGGGACAGCGGCGCCTCAGGTAAGAAGTCCACAGGCTCATCCATCCCTGAGCAGGGGGTGCCCGTGGTTCCTCTTCTTGCCCTTGGAGAGTGGGAATGGCCCTGAGCCTGGGTGTGGATTTGAGGGCTCCCCCTAAACCGGGTAGGGACTGAGCTAAGCCACAGACCCTGTCTCAAGCACAAGAGGAGCAGCAGTGCCCACCTTCATTCCCGTAGCTGTCTCACCCACCAGGGAAGAAGCTAAGCCTCCTCTCCTTTAGCTACCCTTCCCCTCCTCTGGACATTTTAGCCACCATCTCCCATGGGTCCCTGCTGTTGACTGCCTCCTCCTGTGCCCTTAAATGGGGACCTGACATATTAAAATGGAAGCTTCTGAGCTCAACCTGTGCCGAAAACGTGCCCAAGGCCTGAAAAACCTGACAGGAGTCCCTGACTGTGTAAAAGCCCCAGAGCACAGGCCAGCCCACTTGATAAATCAGCGTGGACAAGGCTGCCTTTGGGGGTTAGGCAAAGGCATCTTCCTTAGCAGCTTGGTAGGGGCAAGCATTCTATTTGGGGATGGACTCAGTGTTTGTGAAGAAAGGGGTCTCAGCATCAGGGCCTGGGCATCAGGGCCCTGCAACATCCAGGGGAGTTGGGGCTTTTCTGGCTCCCACCCTTCCGGTGTCAGGCCTTTGCTCTTGGCTGCTTTAAAAAATAATAACCACACCCTGAGAGGCTTATTCCCTAAATGATGATGCTATTTCACCCCTCCCCATCAGCACCTTACTAAGGGGCCTTTAAGAAAACTGAGTCCCAAATTACTGGTTAGTGCTGAGGTAGAAGATCTCGGACTCTTAGGTCCAACTCTTGACAGGCATTAAGCATAGGAGGGTCTGAGGTTTGAAGCCCAAGTTGAGACCCTAAAGATGGGTGAGGGATTACACTTTGCTCTTAGCTCTCTGCAAGGAACTCCAACCTAGGTGTGTGGAGTGGGACACCTCCCCTAGATTTTTCTCAAGGTCTGGGTCCTCTCCTTTGGCTCAGGCTACAGTTGCCCTGGGGAGCTGACACCTTTTGGATTTAATTAGAAAAATATCAGACACACACAGCTCTCCTAACCATAACTTCCCGCCTACACCACACACCCTGTGTCTCTATGACACATTCCCTGGGGAGGCTGTGCATTGGACCAGAGCCTGCTTTGGAAGAGACAGATGCCAAACTATAGCCCCCATATCAGCATCTCCCCCACTCTGTCCCATGCTCCTCTTTTGCTCTGTCTTTGCTTTCCTGTGAAGATAAAGAGACCTCCTTATTCCTAGTCAGTGTTCCTGGAGCTGGGGGTCAGGGCTGAGAGATCTCTGACTTACTTCAGAATATAGCAGTGTAGCTAGGTAAAGAGGAAAAGGGAGAAACTGTCTTTGCCCTTTCACAGGGGGCTGGTGCTACAGACTCTGCTCTCTCCCCTGGGGTGAGGCTCCTGAATTGATTATTACCCATATTATCTGGCCAAGCAGGCTGGATCCCCAGAGTAACTGGTTTGGGAAAGCCCAAACCAGTCCCAGAGTGAATTGAGAATCAGCTTAAACTGCCACCCTGATACTTCCATTATAACCCATGTTCTCAAGCCATTTTGGTTTCCTCCCAGGGCTTGTAGGAGGAAAGGGCTTACAGAAGGTCCTCCACACCTAGCCAGAGCCTCTCGAACATCTGGGCAGCCCCATCTGACCACTAGGTTCTACCCTGACACTTTGCCCTTCTTCCAACATATTGAGAAAAGAGCAAAGATGCAGGAATCGGGGTTCTTCCAGCTCCAGGCAAGTCCCTTCTAGCACTGGGCCTCAGTTTCTCATTTGTGAAATGAAAATGGTTGAAATAGATGATTTTGTGTTGGTTCTTCTTCATCTTCATAGCTAGAATTGATGGCCTGAGATGGTGAGCCAAGGTCTGTCAAAAGCCTTGGTTTTGTCCTGGAGCAGTGCCTGGGGACCTGGCCCTAACCTGTCCTGGTGAAGACACCTGGCTCCCTCCCTGTGCCCTGCCTGTGTGTGCCAGGAGGCTTTGCCCCACCCCAGGGCTGGGCGACCTTGTACCYGGCTGACTGGCTGAGCCAGGCCCAGACAGGGGTGTGGAAGGGAAAAGGGTGGTGAGAGGAGCCCCTCCCCTCCACCCTTCCATCATTAACCCTTGCATCTCTGGACATCTAGAGTACACAAGCTTTCTATTTAAAGCCTCTGAGATCAAAGAGATGGCAGTCCCTCCCTCTCCATTTTAATGGGTCTCGTTCCCACCTGTCTGGGTGGAACTCAAAGTAGTGAGGTAGGGAGCAAGGAGGGGAGGAGGGATACACACACATACCACTGACCCTAACCTCTCTGTTTGGAAGTTCTCTTTGTCTAGAGACCCTTCTGTGGGCTACTTCATTTTTCAGGCAGTTCTCGGGCTTGGTGTACTATCTGACCAACTTTCCACATATACCAAAGAGAAGTATGCGTTGCTGTCAAAGGCACACCTCCTTCCCTCCAGCTGCCTTGGCAGCTGCCAGCCCCACCCCCGCGACAGCTGCCCAGGATCTTCACACATGTGTGTGCACGTGTGCAGAGCATGACAAGGCAGGTGGCCGGGGCTCCAGCCTGCCTAAAGAGAACTTGCCCTTGGAGGCCAGAGAAGGAGTGCAGGATTTCCAGTCTGGTCCTAGAAGTGCCCTTTTGACATTCGTGGCACCCATTGATCTCCACAGATATCTTGCTTGATGACATCGTCCTTACCCACTCCCTCTTCCTCCCAACGGAGAAATTTCTACRGGAACTACATCAGTAATATCCTTTTGTGGAATTTGTAAAAGATAGGCCAGGAGGCAGCCCATTTTCTCTATCCCACATGTGACATCAGAGCCCTTGCTCTCCCCTAGAAAATATACCCAGCTTTTCAGTTCACCAGCTGTGTCTCTTTAGGTAGATCACCTCACCTCCAGGGGCTTCCAGTTCTTCTGTAAAATGGAGGTAAATAATACCTGCCCTGCCTACCTATGGCCTGCTGCGAAGATCAATCTGATAGTAGATGTGAGAGTTCTTTGGCAACTGCAAAGACCTGTATAGATGTAAGGTGTTATTATCCTAATAAGGGTGCCTCTCTTCCCACTGAATTATTCTTCTAAACGTCTGGTTGTCCAGTGCATTATTACAGAGGCTGCTGTCAACATCAGGTCTTGGCTGGGCTTCAGTAGGAGACCCTGGCCAGTGCAGATGAGCCACTGGCCAGCCTGTTCATTAGATCTCATATAAGCAGATAGCCTTTCACTGAATTATTTTAGAACCTAATTCTTAATGTCAGGTCACTGAGTAAGTAGAATGTCTTAGATTCTCTTAGCAACATCAAGCCTCACAAAGCAATAAAGTTAGGTTTGGGGGTGCAACTGTAAGCTCTGGGCCCTGGGCTGGCCAGAGGATGGGATGGGTCTTGGGCAGGGTATTCGTAAGTGAAAAGCTAACAGGAAATGGATGTGATCAGGTGGATGCCATCACTACCTATTCTATGCAAAAACCTGGGCTGGCACAGGAGAAGGTCTTGGCTCCAGGACCCCTGGCTCCTAGAGAATATTTGGGGGTAGTTTAGCCTGCCATTGCTTCCCTTCCCAATTTCCTCAGGCTTGCCTGTCCATGGCTTTTTCTTGACTTAGGGGTCAGCTTTGTTCGGGCAGGGGTCCTGGAGGGCCCTGAGGGGCTAGGCCGGAAGCAGGCCTGTCTAGCCATGCTACTCCATTTCTTGGACACCTACCAAGGGCTGCTACAGGAGGAAGAGGGGGCCGGCCACATCATCAAGGTGGGCCTGGGGAAGAAAAGGTGGGTGAGCAAGCTATTAGCTCTGGAAGGAAGCCCTTTTGAAGGAGACATACTCCTCAAGTTGGGTATCTGGAAGCAAAAGATGTCATTGGGTCTTGGATTATATGGTTCTTCTATGCTCAAAGGCATGGAGTCCCTGCCCCGGCCCTTGCAGAAAGCGGTACCTGGAATGAAACCCCTGTCGTCCTCTTCTCAGGATCTGTACCTGCTGATTATGAAGGATGAATCCCTTTACCAAGACCTCCGAGAGGAAACACTGAGGCTGCACCAGCTTGTGGAGACAGTGGAGCTGAAGTGAGGGAAAATGGGTTGCTGGAGGGGTCAGGAAAGAGGTCCCCTGAATTCCTCTATTACAGGGGCTACCTCTGGTTCTTTGGCTCAACATAGTGTTGTTGTTGTCCTGTGTATGTGTGTGTATATGTGTGTGTGTGTATGTGTGTCTGTATGAATATGTGTTTTGTACCAGGGATTGAAACCAGAGGTGCTTAACCACTGAGCAATATCCTCATCCCTTTTTATGTTTTATTTTGAGACAGAGTCTTGCTTAGGGCCTTGCTAAGTTGCTGAGGCTGGCTGTGAACTTGCAATCCTCCTGCCTCAGCCTCCCGAGTTGGGATTACAGTTATGCACCACTGCACCTGACTTCGATATGGTTTTATTTTAGTCCCTTTCTCTTACTGAAGGGTGACACAGAGCACTGTGTCCAGTCATTTTTATTGTCCATTCACCCATCCATTTGCCTGTTAATCTAGTGGTGAACTAGTTAATATTTAACAACTAATGCTCAGGAGAAAGAGCCTTGATTCTTAGCTTTTGCTGATTCCATGGCATAAATTCTATCATCGTTTTTGATTTTAAGCTACTGTCATGATGTCATTGAATATGGAATAGAGAAGAGATGTGTGTGGTAGCTAGATGTTATATAGCGTTTCCACAGTACTGATACACTAGAGGTAAAAATCTCAAAAGCACAGATAATAATAAACTGTACCAAAACAATTAGCATACTTCCTTTTATGTAATAATTTATTTGAGCACATGTTTATAAAATGTGTGTTTATACACACATACTTGCATATTTTAATGGCTGTGTTAAACATAAGTTGGCAAAATCCCTCAAAATTGAACTTGTGAGCTGCCTTCAGGACACCACTGCATTTCTTCATCCCTTCTGCCCTTTCAGTTTTCTCTTTTCCATTCCCACCACCATGGCCCTTGTGTAGGCCTCTTTAACTCTCACTTGGATTTCTTTTTTCTTTTCTTTTGATACCAGGGATTAAACCTAGAGGTACTTAATCATTGAGCCATGTCCCCAGCCCTATTCTTTTTAATTTTTTTAAATTGTCAATGGACCTTTATTTTATTTATTTATATGTGGTGCTGAGAATTGAACCCAGTGCCTCACACATGCTAGGCAAGTGCTCTACCACTGAGCCACAAACCCAGCCCTCCCTAGCCCTTTTTTTATAGCTTATTTAGAGACAGGGTTTCACTAAGTTGCTAAGGGTCTTGCTAAGTTGACGAGGCTGGCTTTGAACTCACAATCCTCCTGCCTCAGCCTCCTGAGCTGCTGGGATTACAGGTGTGTGCCACCACACCCAGCTCTTACCTGGATTATTGCCGCAGCCTCCTACTCAGGGCTTCAGCTTGTGGCCTTGCATATTTCTCCCTTTCTTTACATTGACAACAGAGAGATCTTTCAAACTTGTATAAACAATACCATCACACTCCTGTTCCAAAAGCATCCACACTCTCTCACTACCTCTAAGACAAAGCTAAACATCTGAATACAGCATTCAACACCCTTCTCTTTCTGCCTTCTGTTGATCCTTCCCACCTCATATCCCACATCTTTTTCTACCCTTGACACTCCCTATATAGCCCACCATTCTCTCAACTCCTGTGCTTTCCCAGATTCCTGTTGTTGCTTATATCATACACCCAGAATGCCTTCCTCCCACCTCTTTCACTTCCTGTTGTCCTTCAAGGCCTAGGTCAAATGCCATCTTCTCCATAAAAGTGTCACACAGATCCTCCTTTTAGGAATAGCTTTCAACATCTCTCTCCTGTGCCTTTTTCACATCACCAATACCTCCTGCCTGGTGTTAGAAGTAGCTGTATACACGTCTGTCTCCCTCCCAGATTGTGAAGTCCTTGTTGGCAAAATTCAGAAAACATCTGATGGCCTACTACCTACCATGTGCCAAGCAGTGTGCTAGGCCCTGGAGGATGAAAAAAAAATTTCAGTAAGAACAAATCCCAGTCCTCAAAAGTTCTCAGTCTCATAGAGGAAATAAGACATGAACATAAGCAATATTGTCCCAATATTTACAGCATTTGTGGCAAGCAAGTGACCTTTCCYGGTGGGGGGTGGATCAGAGAAGAACTGGTGGAAAAAGTGGCATTTGATTTGAGTCACTTGTCCCATGCTGGTCATTGTCCTCTCTTCTGATCCCTTTAACCACCTTCTGAAAGTGGAGCTGGTATGTCCTTGACCCAATTCTAATATCCTTGCTTAATGTTGCCTGCTTAGTACTCCAAATGCTCAGCAGAGCTTGCTGATGCCCCATGTGTCTGTACCAGGATCCCAGAGGAGAGCCAGCCACCCAGCAAGCAGGTAAAGCCACTCTTCCGCCATTTCCGTCGGATAGATTCCTGTCTCCAGACCCGAGTGGCTTTTCGGGGCTCAGATGAGAGTAAGTATCACCATTAGCAAAGGCAGGGCTTCCCAAGTGACTCGGGAGGATTGTGGTGTATCTGAGTTTTGAGTACCATCAGAGGAGTCTCCCTGTGTAGTGGAAGTAGATAGTACACTTATCTTCAGAGGCCAGCCTCTAGTATAGACCAGAGGTGCCCTGGAGGGGCTGGTACCTACCTGTGTTGAAAAGCTGCTTTCCTGTCTCTGTGCAGTCTTCTGCCGAGTCTACATGCCTGACCACTCTTACGTGACCATACGTAGCCGACTCTCAGCATCTGTGCAGGACATTCTGGGCTCTGTGACAGAGAAGCTGCAGTATTCAGAGGAGCCCGCAGGGCGTGAAGATTCCCTCATTCTGGTAGCTGTGGCTTCCTCAGGAGGTAAGGATCAATGCCCTGGGGCTGAGACAAAGACTGAATTCTAGGTCTTTGCTACTCAAAGTATGATCCTGAGACAAGCCTCATGTGCATCTCCTGGGAGCATTTTAAAAAATCTCAGACCCTACCCCAGACATTCTGGATCAGAATCTCCATTTGGCTAAAAAAGACCTTCGGGGGATTAAAGTTTGGGAAACAATAGCCCAGTACCCTGGGATTCTGATTTGAGTGCTGCCTCTCACTCACCTGGGGATTGGGTTCTAGTTCTTTTTTCAGGGTAAAGACAGGGTGGTAGGGCATGGCGGCACATACATGTAATCCCAGCTGCACAGGAGATTGAAACAGGAGGATCATAAAGTCAAGGCCAGCCTGGGAAATGTAGTGAGACCCTGTCTCAAAAACTACAAATGGCTGGTATATAGCTTGATGGTAGAGCACTTGCCTAGCATATGCTAGGCCCTGGGTTCAGTCCCCAGTACCACAAAAACAACACAAAAAGATGCAGGGGTTCTAATCTCTGTGGGGAGACAGAAGGTCTGCAGTGTATCTTATTTTCCTCTAAGAAAAAAAGTCCTGCCTTTCCAATGTCACAGGGACAAAAGAATGAGGGGAGGAAAAAAAAAAAGCTATGAAAGAATGTTGGAGGTTAAAAAAAAAAAGAAAGATTATAAATGCAAAAAAAAAATAAATATGATAAGAATGGCAGATAAATATGGCATCAACTGGTGACAGCATGAGTCCCACTGGTCTAGAATGTGTCAGTGCAGGGCTAGGTGTTCTGGATGCGAAAGGAGACAGGGCCTGGGATGTGTGAGGGAAGGGGTGAGGGGCGCTAAGCAGCCTGTTCTCCTGCAGAGAAGGTCCTTCTCCAGCCTACTGAGGACTGTGTTTTCACCACACTGGGCATCAACAGCCACCTGTTTGCCTGTACTCGGGACAGTTATGAGGCCCTGGTAAGACAAGGTTTTGGCTGGGAGCAAGGGCTGAGGGGGCACTGTGAACAGTCCCACACCCTGCCACCAGGAGCCCAGCCCCTCTGTCCCTGCCTATCACAGGTGCCCCTCCCTGAAGAGATCCAGGTCTCCCCTGGAGACACAGAGATCCACCGAGTGGAGCCAGAGGATGTAGCCAACCACCTTACTGCCTTCCACTGGGAGCTATTCCGATGTGTGCATGAGGTGGGGACTGAGGCTGGTGCTGGGCATGGGGCAGGAGAGAGAAATGAGCCAATGGGAGTCAGTGTTCGAAGCAGACCCTCCTGGTTAGATGGCTCAATTGCAGCATGCCCTTGGGCAATGCACAGTCAGGACCTCCCCAAGTCTTCTCAAAAAATGGCAGAGAGAGACTCCATACCTGAATGATTTAGGGCCAAAGCACAGCTTACCCAGAAACTGACTCAGGGTAATTTTAAAATATTCACTGTTAAAAGAATTTTTTTAAAAAGGTAAGCGACAATAATGTCTCTCGGGTGGTTGTCTTGAGGAGAAGTCAGCCTTTAGCAGGTGCCTGGCACCTAGTAAATGCTCAATAGATGGTGATATCCTATTAACCTTGGTTCTCTCTCGCTTCTTGTCCCCCCCCCCCCCTCACGCTCTGGGCTCCTGCCTCCTCCATCTCCTCGCGCCCTGCGCTGCCATCTTCCCACCTATGCCCTGACACCTCGGTGGCCCCTCCGTCACTGCGGGTGTAGCTGGAGTTCGTGGACTACGTGTTCCACGGGGAGCGCGGTCGCCGGGAGACAGCCAACTTGGAGCTGCTGCTGCAGCGCTGCAGCGAGGTCACGCACTGGGTGGCCACGGAGGTGCTGCTCTGTGAGGCCCCGGGCAAGCGCGCGCAGCTGCTCAAGAAGTTCATCAAAATCGCAGCCATGTGAGTGTGGCCAGCCGCGACGGGGAGAGGGGCACCCAGAGGCTCGGCAGCCGCAAGCTGCCAGATGCCCCCTAACCCTGCCCCGCACTCCTCAGCTGCAAGCAGAACCAGGACCTGCTGTCCTTCTACGCTGTGGTCATGGGGCTGGACAACGCTGCCGTGAGCCGCCTGCGGCTCACCTGGGAGGTGAGGAACCACCCTCCTTCCTTCTCTTGCCACGGAGCTAGCTCAGTCATCCCGTTTCAGCGATCTTGGCATCCGGGGCTCACCCCAGTTCCGTCTCCTGTGGTTACCAATAGTCTTTGTGCCGTTTGGAAGCAGGCGCCCTCTTCTGGCAACTATAGCCCCAGGTCACAGCTTGTGTCACCTCTTCTTGGTGCAAATTGGTAAAAAGCCAAATTCCCAGACTGAGAGGAACTGACCTTAGGAGTAGGGCTGAGTTTCAGGCAGCAACCAGGTGGCTTTGCTATGCTCCTTGTCATAGTACATGCATGACCAGAAGTCTCACTTTCCCCAGAAAAATTCAGTCCTCTGGGTTCTTTCAACTTCTGGACTTTTCCAAGGACTGACTACTTCCCCACCCACTGGCTTCCCACCGCTGAGCAAGATATGCCAGCCCTTTCCCCTTCTAATGCTGGGAATTAGTCAGATGTTCCTGTGAAATCCGAGGTGCTCCACTCTGACATCTCTTCTTCTTCCTTCAAACTCTGCAGAAGCTGCCAGGGAAATTCAAGAACTTGTTCCGCAAATTTGAGAACCTGACAGTGAGTGGGTTTGGCTCTTTCCACTGCCCTTGRACTTTCATCCCTGTTCTCGTAAACCCTCTGCCTTCAGCTTCCTTTTCAAGGTTTTTAGTGCCTGGGACACTGGTCCTCTACCCACCATGCAGGAAGGGGAAGGGTGGAAGTATTGCTACCCTGTTTTCCCTGGAGGAGGGGAGGAGAGCAATAAGCCCCTCCCTGTCACACACCCAGCTAGACACCCACACACCCCTCTAGCTGATTGGGCAGGGAGATGAGGGAGAGAGTGGGAGACATGTTTGGGGTACACTGAGCCCATCTGTCTCTTATCCCTCTTCTGTGGAATGCTAGGATCCTTGCAGGAACCACAAAAGCTATCGAGAAGTGATCTCCAAAATGAAGCCCCCTGTGATTCCCTTCGTACCTCTGATCCTCAAAGGTGAGAGAGTCACTGCCACACSGTGGTTCTCCTCTCCACATTTCCTTCTCCCAAGCCCCAGTTCTGACTCTCAGTCCCCTCTCAGCTCAGCTCTATGTGTCCTACTGAGGAGACTTCCAGACTGAAGAATAGACTGGCATATAGGACCCTCCCCCTGAGGAGGGGGAGGGTCCTATATGCCGTGGCCCTTTGAACCTCCTCTCCTCTGTGTGCCTCAAATTTGACTCTCTTCTTCCCCTAGACCTGACATTCCTACACGAGGGGAGTAAGACCCTCATAGATGGCTTGGTGAACATTGAGAAGCTGGTGAGTGGTTCTGCCAACTCTCTGTCCATGAGTGAGGGGCTTTGTCCTCCCCCTCTCTCCTGTCACCTTCCTAAAATAGAAGTCTTCCTCCATGGTACCCAGCTTGCCTAACAGACTCTCGACTGTCTCCCTGGTGGCATCACTGTGGCAACCCACCCATGGGTGGCAAAGCTGACAGGCCGCTTGGGGGCAACTCTACCCGCCAACCCACCTGGTACCCACCTACACCCTCTCCTTTGGTCCTTCAAAAACCCTTCAGAACTGGGAACTTGAGAGAGTAAAACCAACAAAGTTGGAGAATGGAGGTGGGGGGTGTGTAAGGGGGAAGCATCTTTCTGTGCCCTTTTCAGGGCTTATTTCTTGTCATCTCCCAGCATTCAGTGGCGGAGAAAGTGAGGACAATCCGTAAATACCGGAGCCGGCCCCTCTGTGAGTGCCCAGTACCCGGGGTTCTAAGAGTGTTTTGGGTGGAGCACTGGCTGAGTGGGAAGGTTAAGGGGACCTCTGTCCTTCAACATGTTTTTACTTACACGGGTCGGGTCCGTCCTCCATTCTCTCCTTGTGCCTCCTGCCAAACACCTATCCTAATCTTAATGCTTTGCCTGGTGTATGGAGAGGAAGAAGGGAGGCTGGGAGCCTGACTGCCTCTCCCTCCCTGCCCCCCAGGCCTGGACATGGAGGCCTCCCCTCACCACCTGCAGACAAAGGCCTATGTGCGCCAGTTCCAGGTCATCGACAACCAGAACCTCCTCTTCGAGCTCTCCTACAAGCTGGAGGCTAATAGTCAGTGAAAATGGAGGGGCTGGGCTGCCCCCACCAGAGTCCTTGGCACCTGGCACTCAAGCACTTTGCACGATGTCCCAACAAATTCACATGGAATTTATTTCCTCTGGAACAACTTCCTGCCCCATGGGGAAGAGTCAGATGGACTTACCTGGATTCATATGCTCATAAGCTTATTCATCCTTCTGAAATCCCTTTACCCTTGCTCTTTCACGCCCCAACTACACTAGGTGTGTTCCTGCCTTTTTGAGGAAAAGGGGATAGAGTGCTCCTTCCTCTGTCACCTCCCAGTGAGGTCTGTTCCAGAGATGGCATTTCCAGCCTCTTCTTCCCAAGCAGCAACTCACAAGACAGGCATTGTGGAGGCACTGGCAGCTTTCTTCCCCACTGCCTGTCTGGCTTCCCCTTAGTCAGGGCTGGGAGCCCTGGATGTATCCCTGGGATTATTATCCTGTGTGTGTGTGTGTGTGTGTGTGTGTGTGTGTGTGTGTGTGTGTGTCCGTGTCCCCTCTCGGGGAGCAGGAGTGCATCTGGCGATGGAGGGAGGGTGTTATGTGTGCTGGGGGGGATTTTTCCTTCTGTTTGGTGCTACCCTTGTCTGCTCTGCCCTAGGGATAGCTTAATGTGCTCCCCCACCCACTCCCGCTCAGTGCCTCCTGCTGCCCTGCATGCCCAGGCTTGTGAGCCAAGCTGCTCCCAAGGGCAAAGAGCAGCAGCAGGTGGGAGGGTTACCCATCAGCCCTGTGAGTCTCCCACCCAGACCTCCCCAAGATCCCTAGATGGGCTCTCATGAGATGGTAAAAGATGCTCAGGGAAACACAGGCCTAAGCTGCCTATAGGACCCTTCCTCTGCCTTGCAGAGGGGCACAGCAGTCTCAGGAGTTAGGGGTGCCTGCTCTCCCTACTCCTGCTCTTTGGGGTGTCTCTTTGCTAACAAGGGCATTGTCATCCCCCTTCTGGCTCTTGTATCTGATGCTAACAACACAGTCTCTGTCCCTTTCTCCCAGTCTTGACACCCCTTGGTCCTCCCCATAGAGCTGGGTGGGGTGGATCTCTGTAAAATAACAGGACTGGCAGATTCCTGAAAGTGGGGGGAGAAGGAGCAGGCAGAGACTGTAGAGGTGAAACTGGACTCTGACAAAGCCTTTGTTACCTCTGTCTCTGTTCCCTTTCCCATTATAGGGCTCCATGGCTGCAGGGTGCAGGGGCTCCTGGCAGCTACTGGGTGAGGTTTCCTGGCACAGCCTCACCCGCCTTCCTGGCACTACTCTTTCCCTTTTGAATAGGCAGTGGTGGCAGTGGCAGCAGTAAAAGTGGCTGCTGCTCCTGCTCTGGGGTGTATATATTTTTTACCCAAAGCTCTGGAATTGTAAATTTATTTTTTAAAACTCAAAGAGGGAAAGAGCCTTGTATAATATGTAAACATTGTATCATAGGTTATGTTGTACAGTCCCTTTTATACAGAGGTCTGGTTCCTGTTTCAAAAACTATCTGTGGACATACACAGGCACCATGCCCCACCCACCCACTGCAGCCCTCACAGTGACCATGGCCCCTCCTACACCCTGCAACTGCTGATGCCTGCTTCTATCCCTGAAGCCCTGGACTTTCCACCCTTCCTCCTGAACCCTCTCAGCAGCCTTCTCGCTCCAGTTCCCCACCCCTCCTTGAACATGGTAACCCCCTGGCTGCTTGCCCCTTGCCTTGACGCTGCCCTGCTGCTTTCCAGGGGCTCGCCAGCCCACACCCCACTTCCCACAGCTTTAACAGAGTGAACTGTGTGTATTGTACAGCTCGGTTGTCATTGCAGAATCTGCTGGGTGGAGAGAAAGCCGATAAAGTCTATGAATCAACTGCCTGCTGTTCTCCGTTCTGTTTCTCTGAGGCTGGGGAAAGGCTGAGGGATGGGAGAGGGAATGGCCTCTCAGGGCTCAAAGCCCCTCAGCAGGACTGTCTGGAGTGACTTGGAAAGTGTGGGTGAGAGGAAAAGGAGCCAACCTCACAAGACCTGTCACTAGTGACTAGAACTTGGAAGAGTGGACATTTTTGTTCTTACATGGTATATGTATGTGATTGGTGTTTAATGCTAACTCTGTAAGGTAGAAGATGGAGACTGAGCAGCCCCAGAAGAAGATCCAAGTTATAGGGTGAGAGATGGGACAGAACTTGAACCCCAACCCAGGCCTATCTGTTGCCTATTCATTCAGCCAACGGCTATGAGTTCTACCAAGGCACATGGAGCCTAGTGTTATTCTCAGGAGATGGTTAAGCTCCAGGAAACACACACTCAAACAGCTGCATGGGAGCCCTTAATCTCATCTGTTCAATCTTCTTCAGAAAACGGTGCTTTCATCCACCCAGGTTTTCAAGGCAACATTCTAGGAATCACCCTTGATGCCTCTGTTTTTCCCCCCATCCTCACTCACCTCATTGGCCAGTCCCACCAGCTATAATTCCAGAACATATCCTGATTGACCCACTTCTCTAAGTCTCCCTTGTGACCACCCTAGTCCATCCCACCTTCATATCTTCTTTGGATGGCTACACAGCCTCTGACCTTGTCTCTCAGCTTCCTCTCTCTAGTCCATCCCATCTGCTACCAGTCAGGACTCCATAGGGCAGCCAGATGCTTTGTGTGTGTGTGTGTGTGTGTGTGTGTGTGTGTGTGTGTGTGTGTGTATTGCCTCACACATACTAGGCAAGCACTCTGCCACGGAGCTGCTACGTTCCCAGCCCTGAGTCCCATTAAGAGAAGTTGAAGTAATCTTTACATGAGAAGTAAAAATAGTGGTTACTCAATGGGGTCAACCAGGCAGGGGCATGAAGAAGCCCTCTGGTGTGATAGAAATGTTTTTATATTGTGAACAKTATTATGAATATACTATGAACATTACACAGGGTGTGTATGCACTCATTGGGTTCATAGGGTAAAATCTACATTTTATCATAGTTATGTTATAGCTCAAAGCAATTCAGATTGTAATCCTAAATTCAGAGTGTCACCCATTTTCAATAATACAGATTAAAAATCAAAATCCTCCCTCCCTGTCCACATCTCCTACCCTTTTGTCACTCACTCACTCTGCTCTAACTACACTGATCACTTTCTTGTTCCTGAATCACCTAACACTCATTTTTACATTTGCTGTTTCCTCAGCCTTGTCTGACCATTTGATATCAAGATCCGGCCCCTCCCTCTTTGCCCCTCCCTCACTGCCCCTCCAGAGCCTCCTTTTTTTCCTTCCAGGAACTCCTCATACATGTTTCTTTGTATATTTGCTTAGTGTTTACCTGCTCCACCTTAGCTCCATGAGTGTGTCTTGTTCATGATCTAGTACTCAGAATTATATCTGGTCTATAGAAAATTGTTCATTACATATTTTTATTTTTTTTAATATTTATTTTTTAGTTTTTTTAATATTTATTTTTTTAGTTTTCGGCGGACACAGCATCTTTGTTGGTATGTGGTGCTGAGGATCGAACCTGGGCCGCACGCATGCCAGGCGAGTGCGCTACCACTTGAGCCACATCCCCAGCCCCATTACATATTTTTAAAAATATTTATGTATTTTTAGTTGTAGTTGGACACAATACCTTTATTATTTATTTTTTTATGTGGTGCTGAGGATCGAACCCAGGGCCTCACGCATGCTAGGCAAGCACTCTGCTACTGAGCTACAGCCCCAGCCCAATACATATTTCTTTTTTAGTTGTTAATGAACCTTTATTTTTTATTTATTTATATGAGGTGCTGAGAATCTAACTCAGTGCCTCATACATGCCAGGCAAGCGCTCTACTACCGAGCCACAACCGCAGCTCTGTTCAATATGTATTTGTTGAGTAAATAATGAGATTGGTTGAAATGGGAGCCAGAAGACAGGCACAAGACACAAGATGATAAGTGCTCTAGGGGTTAAGCCAAGGGGGTTCACTCTTGGCCTGGGGATGGGGAGGACAGAATAAGAGACATTTTCTTGGAAGAGATGACCCAGACCTCAAAGGAGGGATCGGGTTTGGTAGTGAAAGCATGGAAGTGGGAAATTAGGGATTAAGCACTGGAAAGCACTTGGGAACTGGGCCTTTTTAGCATGGAGAGCTACTTCTGCCCTATAGGACTGCTCATTAGGGGAGCTAGACGTGTGGAGGCTGAATAGGTTCTGCTCTCCTCAAAGGGTGCTGGCATCTCACTGACAGACTCCTTGAGCAGGTGAGGRTGGAGTCCTTGTTGCCCCTCTTCCCCAGGAAGGCAGACAAATGGTGTGGATTATTTTTAGCCCATCTCAGCCACCTTCAGACTCATCTGTTACCTATTTTTCAGAGGCGATAACAAAAGTTGCCATTCTTTGTGCTTGGCTTTGTGTGCATTCTCTTATTTAATATTCCCAACAACCTTTGAGGTTGGTTCTATCCGCTCCACTTCCACTTTCCTGATGAAGAATTGAGGTCTTGAGATTTTTTTTTTTTTTTTTTTTTTAAAGCATAGGCAGGGGGCTGGGGATGTGGCTCAAGCGGTAGCGCACTCGCCTCGCATGCCTGCGGCCCGGGTTCGATCCTCAGCACCACATACAAAGATGTTGTGTCCGCCAAGAACTAAAAGATAAATATTAAAAAATTCTCTCTCTCTTAAAAAAAAAAAGCCAATTCATTTCTGACTTTACAGCCTATACAGCCCATGCTCTATAAATCCTGGGAGTCTGAATAGTTGAGAATTATCTGCTTTGTTGCAGGTGGCTGTGGCTGGCAGAACTTTTTCTTTTCTTCCCCCCTTTTTTTTGAGGGGGGGCAGAACTTTTTCTATCCATTTCTTTATCCCACCTRTGTTCAGAGAGTCACCCAAGACCAAGAAGTAGCCGCAAAAGGGCTCTGTGGGCTAAGGCTGGGGGGATATGAGCTTATATAGTAGCCTAGCACCTCCTAGACTAGTCAGCAATGAACAAAAGGATGAAAATGATCTGGAGTGGTCAGAAGACCAACGTAATAAGGTACTCTTTTGATGGGGTATAGAGA